ACCATATGCCTTACTTAATGTTGCATGTACCGAGTCCCAAATATGGGTTTGCATGATAAGAAATTACTTCAGATTCTACTTGATAGTGGAAATATTCATAAGTTCTTAGACTCGGATATATGAAAGAACCATGGGTGTAAATTGGAAGCTATTCAAATGGTTGATGCAACAATATCTCCAAAAGTCACTCAATTCCATCCCGTAAGAGAGGGAGAGATCCAGTGATGTTAATGTTTGTTTGATTTACTAAGATTTCGACTATAGTGCTCACCATCACACTTTTGCACGATACAAGTGTTATAACTAATCAGAATTCGTCATGTGATTACTTCTATATTGCTCTTGTTAAAATAAAATACACTCTTGGTCTTTATATAGACCTAATTACTTTTACAATTCTAAAAACATAACTGCTAATAATAAACTATCATAACTTACTAAACTTTTGTCCTTCCTACTACCATATTTAATATGAAACTTATTACTAATGACATTTAAAGTTTATTCAACAAAACTCCTCTGTAAACTTAAATGTTTCTTCCATCCAGCATTCCTATCATCTTCTTGCCTCTGTCGAAGATCTCTTTTGATAGTGGTTTTGTGAAAATATCTGCTGCTTGGTTTTTGCTTGCTACATGCCTTAATTCGACACTTCCCTCCTTCACATGTTCACGAATGAAATGAAATCGAACATCAATGTGTTTGCTTCGTTCATGATTCACTGGATTCTTTGCCAATTCGATAGCTGATTTATTGTCCACTTGTATTATTGTTGGACCTTCCTGTTTTAGCTCCATCTTGCTTATCAACCTTCTGGGCCATACTGCATGACAGACGCACCAGGATGCTGCCACATATTCAGCTTCACACGTCGAAAGTGTTACTATAGGTTGCTTCTTCAATAGCCAAGTAAATGTTGTGTTTCCCATGAAAAACACATATCCAGAGGTGCTCTTTCGATCGTCTATATCTTCGCACCAGTCACTGTCAGAATAACCAACTAACTTGTAGTCTTCTGTTTTTGAATAAAACATTCCTAGTGATATTGTTCCTTGGATGTATCTTAGAATTCGTTTCAGCGCCTTCCAATGTGTGTGTACTGGCTCCTCCATGAATCGACTTACAATGCCAACACTTAGTGAAATGTCTGGCCTTGTGCATGTGAGATATCGAAGGCTACCTACCAAGCTTCGATATTTGCTTCCTTCAACCCGTTCTCCTCCATCAAACTTTGACAGTTTTGTACCTGGTTCCATTGGCGTCAAAGTTGGATTGCAATTCTTCATTTTATATTTTTCTAGGATTTCTTTTGCATATTTTTCTTGTGAGATGAAAATTCTAGCTTCTTCTTGTCGAACCTCCAGACCAAGAAAGAATTTCATCAGACCTAAGTCTATCATTTCGAATTCGCTTGTCATGGTGCTCTTGAAATCTTCGATCATCTGAACATAACTGCCTAGAAAGATAAGGTCATCAACATAGAGAGCAACAAGTAATAAATTACTTCCATTTTTCTTCACATAGAGGGCGGGTTCATAAGGACATTGCTCGAACCCATTCTCTTTGAAATATGTGTCAATACGTGTGTTCCATGCCCTAGGTGCTTGCTTCAACCCATACAACGATTTCTTCAGTTTCAACACCTTCTTCTCTTCTCCAATTCTCATATATCCAAGTGGTTGTTCGACATAGATTTCTTCTTCGATCACACCATTCAAAAATGTTATCTTGACATCCATTTGAAATAGTGGCCATTTGAATTGAGCAACTTGAGAAATGAGTAATCGAATTGTCTCCATTCTTGCAACAGGCGCAAACACTTCGTCATAGTCAATTCCTGCTTTCTGTTTGTATCCCTTCACAACCAGTCGTGCTTTGAATCTTTCGATTTCTCCTTGAGCATTCATCTTTTTCTTGAATACCCACTTTACACCAATGGGTTGACTATATTTTGGCAATTCGACTAGCTCCCAAGTATTGTTGCGTTTGATTGCTCTAATCTCTTCGTCCATGGCACTTTTCCACTTCTTGTCTCGTAACGCTTCTTCGACACTGATGTTTTCAGCATCTGCCAAAAGACACACAAGATGCACCTCACTTGTTGAATCATACAAATCTTGCAAACTTCTCATTTTTGGTTGTAGAGGTTCATCTTCATCTTCAGTTTCTTCATGTTCTGTTGGAATACTTGTTGGTACAGCTACAATTGTTTCTTTGACTGCGTCAATAACCTCTGTCGAATTGTTCCAGTCCCACTTGCTTGCTTTGTTCATTCGAACATCTCTACTCACGATCACTTTCTTACTTATGGGATCGAAGAGCTTGTACCCTTTCGTCTTCTCATCATATCCAATGAATATGTACTTCTGACTTTTGTCTTCAAGCTTTGTTCTTTGTTGATCTGGTACATGTGCATAAGCTATACTACCAAATACCTTGAGATGAGAAATTGTTGGCTTCTGTCCACTCCATGCTTCTTGTGGTGTTTTGTCTTCTAACTTCGAATGTGGACATCTATTCTGAATATAAACAACATATTGTACTGCTTCTGCCCAGAATTCTTTCGACATGTTCTTGCTTTTGAGCATTGATCGAATCATGTCAAGAATAGTTCGATTCTTCCTTTCAACCACACCATTTTGCTGAGGTGAATATGGTGCAGTTAGGAATCTCCTTATTCCTCGTTCTTCACAGTACTTCACAAAGGCCATTGAAGTATACTCACCTCCTCTGTCAGATCGAATTGCTTTGATGTGTCTGTCTGTTGCCTTCTCCACCATTACTTTAAACTTTTTGAACACTTCTAATGCTTCAGATTTTTCTTTCAGGAAGTAAACCCAGGTTTTTCTTGAGAAGTCATCAATAAAGGAAATGAAGTACCTTTTTCCACTGAAGGATTCTGGAGTGATTGGCCCACATATGTCAGTATGTATCAATTCGAGAATATGTTTAGCTTGATACTCTGCCTTCCTTTGAAATGAGGTTCTTGTTTGTTTGCTGAGCACACATTCTTCACAAAATTTTCCTTCGAAATCCATGTCTGGTAGTCCATGCACCATGTTCCTTTTTGCCAACCTTTTCAAACCAGCATGATGTAGATGACCAAAGCGCATATGCCATAGTGACGCTTTGTCTTGCACTTCGATTTGCAGACATTTCTCTCGAATGTTCCTCAAGTTCAGTTTGTACATTCGATTTCTTTCCATTTCAACACTGGCAATCAGATGTCCTACTTTGTCCTTCAAATGCAGTGTTCGATCTTTCATAAGTATCGAAGCACCTTTTTCTGTAAGTTGTCCCAGACTTAATATGTTGGTCTTGAGATCTGGTACATAGTAAACATCTTCGATTGATCCAATCAAGCCATCCTTCTGCATGTAACCGATGGTGCCCTTTCCTTCGACCTTCACTTTCGATGCATCTCCAAAAGACACATTACCATCTTCAATTCTCTTCATATCTTTAAACAAGTGTTTATAACCACACATGTGATTACTTGCTCTTGAGTCAAGATGCCAAACATTGTCATTATTGGTGTTGATTTCGTTTTGAGCCATCAGGAGAAAGCCTTCATTCGATTCAGCTTCCAATGCTAGGTTGGTTGTTTCTTCAATCTTCTTTTCAATTCGACAGTCTTTTGCAAGATGTCCCACTTTGTCACAGTTGTAACATTTGTAGGAGTTGGAATCCTTCGCGCAATGACCATACTTCCCACACTTGTAGCATTCGAAGTTGGAATAATTCGAACGACCACCTCTTTGACCACGTCCTCTGCCACGCCAATTTTGTTGGCTCGATTGTCCTCTTTCGAAGTTGCTACCTCTACCATTTCGACCACTGTCACGACCTCCACGTCCTCTTCCTCTGAAGTTGTGAGAAAAGAGTACTTTTTCGTCTTTGTTCGATTCCTTGGTTTGATTTGCTTCTTCGACTGCTTCTTCTTTCTTTTTCATCTTTCGTTTCATGTGCTTCGAGAGAACCAGTGAGCTCTTCGACTGAGAGCGTCGAAAGGTCCTTCGACTCTTCTATTACACACACAATATTCTCAAACTTGTCTGTTAAAGATCTCAAGATCTTTTCAACAACTCGTGCATCAAGTACGGTCTCTCCATTTCTGGTGAGTTGATTCACCACCTTTTGCACACGTGTGATGTAGTCAGATACAATTTCTGTATCCTTCATATGTATTCTCTCCAATTCGCTACGAAGAGTTTGGAGTCGAACTTGCTTCACTCGATCTGCTCCTTTGAACACTTTTTCTAACGTGTCCCACGCTTGTTTCGACGTAGTCGAACCAGCAATTTTTTCGAAGCCTGATTCATCTACAACCCTGAACAACATGTATAATGCTGTTTTGTCCTTCGATCGCGTCTCTTTCAACGCCTTCGTTTGAGTTGCCGTATATCCCCCAACTTCTGTTGGTTCTTCAAACCCATCATGGGTCACATCCCACGCGTCTAGAGATCCAAGAAGAGCTTTCATTTGGATACTCCAGTTTTCATAATTTGACTTCGTTAGCCGTGGCAACGGCATTTGATTCATCATGTTTGCCATGAGCTCTGATGCCAAATTGTTATAACTAATCAGACTTCGTTATGTGATTACTTCTATATTGCTCTTGTTAAAATAAAATACACTCTTGCTCTTTATATAGACCTAATGACTTTTACAATTCTAAAAACATAACTGCTACTAATAAACTATCATAACTTACTAAACTTTTGTCCTTCCTACTATCATATTTAATATGAAACTTATTACTAATGACATTTAAAGTTTATTCAACAACAAGAACTTGAAGACAGAAATGCCATCAGAATTAAGTTCACTTCCATTTATAGTATTACATCCCTCATTAATATGATTGATATTACATGAAGGATGGCTTGTGGAATTCAACTCACACTCAGCTATGGGAATAGCAAGTGCATCTAGAATTGAAAAGAAAAATATTTCAAACAATTATGGTTCAACTCTAGTGGCACTGCATCATAGTACATTCACTTCTCTTTCCTAAATAGCTCATTTTTGATAATGCTTAACTCTCTGGTGACATCCACTATATTCATTCTTTCTTTTGGTGATTCCATTGAACAAGCAAGTCCAATCTGAAAAAGTGAAACCAAGCATTTCTCTAGAGTTGGAGTCAAATTCCCACTGTTTTCATCTTCTTCTATATTTGCTTCTACATTTCTCGGCACAAGATGTGAGTCCAAAATTTGAGTTAGATTACTAGGAACTGAATTTTCAACAAACATATGTAGATTTTGACCATCTTCAAACGTTTCTTGTTGGTCTTCTTCCAGTGAGCATTTCCAACATAAGCACCCCGAAGCTATACATGTCACCGCATGTGGATATTTCGGAACCATTCCATAATCTAAAAGATAAAGCAAAAACATTTAAAACTATGTTACCAGTAAACTAACAAACATAAATCACAAGATGGGAAATTCAATGAAAACATTCAAGTATACTATAAGCCTGATGTACTCTGTAGATCATTAGGAATCGGTCCAAACAACCGATTTCTTGACAAGTCTAAATATTTAAGACCTTTTAGTGAAGCCAAAGAGGATGGTACAGTTCCACTGAAGGAATTCCCTTGAAAAAAGAGGTATTCTAAGCTTATGCATTCGCCAATGGCTATAGGAATGTCACCAGATAGATGATTCTCTGAGACATCCAACTTGTTGATACTTTTTAGCATACCTACTTCTCTCGGTAAGCTACCATTCAATGAGTTTTTTGACAAGTTCAGTAAGTTTGTTAAAGAGGAAAGACCAAAGACCTCTAAGGGCATGGTTCCTCTAAGAGTGTTTTGTGAAAGGTCTAGGTATTGTAGCTTTTAGCATTTTCCTATGCTTGAAGGAATATTTCCTTCTAACATATTATCTCTTAAACTCAGAAAATATAATCGACTGAGGTTGCCTATGAAGGGTGGTACCTCTCCCGACAGCTTATTTCCGTCCAATACTAATTTTTGCATTTTCTCAAGCTTCCCAAAAGTAGTAAGAATAACTCCTTCATTTGGTACAAACCGCGTTGTGTTTATTGTTAAACTAAAATTAGTTTATTTACCATGCTTCTGACATGCTTGTATTAATATATTGGCACTCTTTTTTAACACCTCGGAATAGTCAAAAAGGTGATTGATTTTGGACAGTTTGAAAATATTAGATGAGAAATAATGAAATTTGAACATCTTTATATATATTGTTATGTTCGGGAACTAGAATTTGATGTAGTTGTTGAATCGAACATTTAGAATCGGTGGTGCGGGATGGACCAACAAAGTTAACATTTTAACGCTCAAATCAGTTCAAGATGAGTGTAGTGGAAAATGGAGAACAGAGTATGTACTCAGTTATCTGTGTGAATTGATTTTTATAGCTTGGGTCAAGTAAAGTAGATTTGAGATGAATTGTGTCTTAGCTATTAGGGCCTTTGACCGGTCTATAATAGTTGTCCCCGAGGCTTTGTCGGACACTGTATGAACTTGTGATACAGTGAGAGAATTGACTTGGGAGTTTTGCGTTTTATCGCAAATGTTGCAGTTAGCAAGAGTCGCCACCGAATTTTCTTTTATCGAAAAGGAAAGGCTAAAAATAACAGAAAAGACCTTTGAGATTGTTTCTTGAGTTCAAGGGATAGATTATGAAAAGGGAAGGTGTTAGCACCCTTTTCATCCATAGTTATCTATAGGCTCTTAGTTGCTTGCTAGATCACTTGTTTTTCGTTTGAAAATGTGCTTTGTGTGGTTTTTAAAAATATTTTGAAAAGGCGCAATCGCTTAGACAAACTTTGTAATAGTTCTCGTTCGTAAGAACGTATACAAAGTGTTGATCTTTTGAAAATGTTTCATGTTTGGAAAATGTTTTAAAAGTGTTTTTGAAAGTGTTTGGTGTTTGTTTGAAAATAAGCAAGGATGTTTGATTTGAAAATGAGCAAGAAACTAGGAATAATCTACCTATTCAAAAGTCTTTGTTCATTTCTTCATTTCCTTTGATATTACTATCTTACCATTGATTTGGTAAGAAGCCTTATCTTTGGATGTAAAGGGGCGGGCGTGGATCATCGTATAACCATGATAGCAATATTGTGAGATATCTTAGCATTTCTCTTTGAGGGACTAAGATCATTTTGAAAGGCAATATTGATAGCGTCATCGAGGGACTATGATCTTGTATTTTTTATTGTTTTTGCTAAGATACCTCACATGCATAACATAGCTATTTTTGTAAGGCAATAAAGTGGAATTACCCTAAGGGTGTATATGTGCAAGTGTGTTTGATTCACATGCTTTGTTATCTTGAATTAGGATTTGTTATTTGTTGGTTTTAGTCTTTCCATACAAATTCTAATTTACTAGCATTTATATAAAGTAATAAATTGCGGAAAATAAAAATACTAAGCTATTACATCATTAGGGGAAGGGGTATACGAATTTATAAATGGGGATTTGCAAGAAAATTAAACTTAATTATCTATTACAACCATATTGAATAATGTACAAGAATTGAATAAATAATGTACAAGTGCAAATGGAAAAAGAAATGATTTTGTTTGGTTTTCATGAAAGAGTTTTAACTTAATTAAGAAAGCTGGTTAATTAAAAATTAAACAAAACTTAAACCTAAATTAATTAAGAAAGAAATTAAGTTAAAAATATTTTTAGGGTTTTTTTTTGTGAAAAAAAGATTTTAAGTTAATAATATGAATATTAATTAATTAAAAGAAACCTAAGTTCTAAATTAATTTTAAATAAAAAGAAAATAAAATAACAATTAAACCTAAGTTTAAATATTAATTATTTAAGAAAAAGAAATTAATTTGTTTAAGAAAATGTTTTTTTATCTTTTTTGTTTTATAAAGAAAATAAAATAAGTGTAAATAATGAATAAAAATATTTTTATATTTTTCATTAATAAAAATAAAAATAATATTAATAATAATAATAATATAAATAAAAATATAATAAATAAAAAAAATGAAACAAAATAAAATAAAATGAAAATGAAATAATAAAGTAAATAATTGGGTCAATGGTGCAAAAGTAAGATAGGGGTTAGAAAAAAAGCAAAAAAGAAGGAAAGCCCAATGATGAGGCCTAGGCGCCTGTAGCTGAAACAAAAAGAGTGAAAAAATGTTGGAAAATGAGAAAAGGTAGTTGTTGTACCCCAAAATTTGCCCTCCCATATTCTTCAAGATTTGTCAAGATCAATCTCCAGATGATTCAAAATCTCTGAAGGGTTGCACAGTCCAATGGCTTCCTAACGCAGGCAAAATTAGGGTTTTGGTTCTGGCAAAGAAATTGAGGTTTCCAAAGGTCTAATCAAGTCCCATATGCCCATAAACATTGTCAAGCATCCATATGTCAAGTTTCAAGACTCACAGCATCAAATTGCACAGTCAAAACCCTAATTGCTCTACAGTCAACTGCAGAGGCAAAATGGTCATTTGACAGTCAAAAGTCAAAATTTTTGGTCAACATTTTATTTTGAAGCCACAAACATCATTTGATCAATTCTTGATCATGATTCTCAAAGCATGGCTAAAAAAGTCTCAAGATGCAAAAATTTCTATTTTTGGACAGCTGAAAAAGTCAACTGCAAATTGACCAGGGCATAACTTCCTAATGGTTTATCAGAAAAATCTCATCCAAAGCTCATTTTGAAGAGAATGACATTTCCTACAACTCATCTTCACACTTCAAGTCCAAGAAATACTCTCACAAAAAGTTATCAATTTCAATATTATAGGTCATTTTCAAAAGTCAACAAAAAGGCACTTTAAGTCAAAGACCATAACTTGAGATTGGTAAATCAAAATGACATGGGACTAAAGGCATTGGTTAGAGGACTTCAAGACCTTTCCAAAATGTCCAAGAACATGATCATAGCTTCAAAATTGAGCAAGATATGCCTTGTAGAAGTTGGGAAATTTTTGGGAATTTTGAAAAGTCAACTTTGCTTCAAAAGCTTCAAAATTGCTAATGGGCCACAAATTCTTCCATGAATCATTACCCAAAGGCTATGCACGACCCATTAAGCTCAAAGGGAGTTATTTTCTTATTTTTGATTAATTATTTGAATTTTTATTATCATTAATTCATTTAATTAAATTTAAATATAAGAAAAATACCAAATCATGTTTTTAAATCTGTTTTGTGCAGCAAATATCTTCCACATATGCAAAAGATTTCGTGCACTATCTCAAGGGGACAAGATCATCCCTATTTGGCAAGTTTCCATGGCAAAAAGATTGAAAAAAGATGTGAAAAAATCAAAGATTGAAAACATTAATACATGGACTTTGGGCTTGGTTTTTTAACCTAATTTCGTTCACTTACATAGGCAAGACCTAATGGAATCAAGGGACACACGAAAAACTGCTCAAAACCATAGAACCAAATTGCAACTTTTGACAAAAATTTTGGAATCTGAAATCATATTTGCAGGGTGTTTCAAAGCTTAACAAGTATTCCATTGTGTTGCTGGACCTTCCAAGAATCGATTACAATCAAAACCAGGTCTCCATACCCCAAGAAACGGTAGAACGGCATCGTGCTTGTCACAAACATATCCATTATCGTGTTTTAATTTTCAAGCATTGTTCATGTGTTTTGTTAATTGATTTACACTAATATTGATATTCTGAAGCTATTGGTAGCATTTAATTGAACCAACGACGCTTGTATCCAAATATGCCATTAAAGGATATTAGGTTTTCAGAGCTCCAAATTTAGGGGTTTTCACATATGGCAAAATTGGACCACCAAACCTATGCCATTGGATTCGTGACCTCAAGACATGACCAACCAACACCTCGCGCCCTTTTTATATTACAGCATGGGCTATTCGCTATTTTTACAGGTCTTATTTAGTGGGGGTTTAAAACCCCCTCTATTTGGTTATATTTGCAGGTACAAAAGGAAGAAGACGCATGCGTGGCTTCATATGGTTGGACAGTTCAAATAAATCAGCGCGCTTTTGCTTTACACCACTAACGCTTGTTTTTCTCTTATAATAATCATCATCCATTATGTGTACAAAGAAACGCGTTGGCTTGGTTGGTGAATGAGCTGTCCTGCAAGTATTGGGACCTGGGTTCGATTCCCAGGTCCCCCCCACATATTTCATATTTTGTCCCTTAACGTGTTTCTATGCAGCATCCCTTCAAAGGCCTACCACGCATCCTCAAACGCTAGCTTGCCACATGGCCATGAGGATCAATCTGAAGGCTACAGGAGGATGTCCACCGTGTACACTCAGTCAACCATACGCATTCAAACACAGAAAGTCAAACGAGGCCTTGTTCTGGTGGGCCAAAAATACTCCAATTCACCTCCAAATTGGGCCAGACACCCCCCAATGTTTGTACATTTTTTTTTAATTTTCTTTTCTTTTCTTTTTCTAGTTCTTTTAATCATTTTTATTTAATTCACTTCCAATAATTTTCTTTTCATAATAAAACCAGAAAATCAAAAACTAAAAATATGTTTAATTAATATTTAATTCATTATTATTTTCATAAATAAACTTTAACCATCAATTTAGTAAATTAGGTTTTAAACTTTAATCTTTTTTTTAATAAATTAAAATATGTAGAAATTAGAGTTTTTGTCCTTTTCATCCTTTTCTTAATAAATAATTTTTTTTCCTCATTATTATTATTAATTAATTTTTTGTAAATAAACATGCAATTCAATTAATTAGCATAAATTAGGTTAAACTTTAATATTTTTTCATTAATAATTAAAAGCAACTTAGAATTAGGGTTTCTCTTGATTTTCAATTTTCT